AGTCTTTGTATTTGCTTGTGCATACATCTTCATCATGGTTTCTAGGCCATACGCTTTAGTTTGTGGCAAGATTTGCATGGTATTTAGTTCTGTAGTTGTAATTGCACCTGACTGAGTATCTTCTCTGTAACTGATAGATATTAGCTGCATCCAGCTTGAATTTTAGTGGGAGGTTTTATGTCTGTGTATCACCAGGATTTTATTATTAAAACTGGTTTCCTTACAATTACGCTGGTCCTGGCAAAGAAATGCAAAGGAAATGGTAGCAGCATGGTAATCTGTTGCATGCTATGACCATTTCATGTGGGTCATACCTGGGCAAGAGAAGGCACTGGAAATCTAATGGTACCGAGCTGCTCCTCTGGTTGTTTGAGTCTCTGTAGCAGTGGAAGTGCCACAGGTCTCCTGGGATTGGGAGCATGAAGGGCTTACACTCAGTGACTGTGACCCTCCTTGGTAGTTTGAGTTAGTTACCTGTTATAATCAGTAGCTCCTTAGAGAAGTTTTAGGACATTCCACAAAACTGTGTTAGTTAGGGACACATGGTTTAAGGGTCTGACTAGAGCTGCATATCACCCTGTATTTCTTATGCTCTGACAGTCCTCAGCTGACATTCCACGCAGATGTTAAAACACTTCTTCTGGAGCCGTGATAGATGATGACATCATTCTTACAGCTCTGCCTTATTGAACTAAACTTGTTACATTTGATCAATCAAATAGATCAAAGAGATTTTACCCCACGACTTCCATAAAATTTGCACATTAGGCATATTTATATCCTCACCTGAAATAGTCTTGCATTTTTACCTGTTCTTGGAGTAGTGCCCTTAGGGAGTATGAGATATAAGTGTTGGAATGGGGAAACAGCATTTAACTGCTGTTTTTGATATGTAGTTAGAATCCCTGTAAATTCTAATCACTTTGATAACAGGTCTGGCCTAATTGAGGGCCAAATGTTTTTTACAAAAGTATTTTTTCTTTCTTACCCAGGTTATCACTTTCTAGTGGAACTCAGATTTGAACTCAGGGACTTTACCCACTTGCTAGTGGTACAGCTAAGTGCTGTACCATCTGAACTACATCCCCTGGCCCTTTTTTGCTTTAGTTATTTTTCCAATAGTTTTTTGTAGTATTACCCTGTAGCCAGCCTCAGACTAAGATCCTCCCACTTCCAGTATAGCTGGAATGGCAAACATGCAGATGGGTTCTTGCTAACTTTTTGCTCAGACTGGCCTTAGACTGCAGTCTTCCCCATCTCTGCCTCTGGAGTGGCTGGATTATAGGCATGAGCCACCACAGCAGCCCTCCAGGTCATCACTTTTTGTTTTTATTCATATGTGCATACAATGTTTGGGTCATTTCTCCCCACTTCCCCCTCGCCCCCTCCTTTACTCCCCTCCAACCCCTCGCTACCCAGCTTTGCCCTTATCTCTAATTTTGTTGAAGAGAGAGTATAAGCCATAATAGGAAGGAACAAGGGTTTTTGCTAGTTGAGATAAGGATAGCTATACAGGGAGTCAACTCGCATTACTTTCCTGTACATGTGTGTTACCTTCTAGGTTAATTCCTCTTGATCTAACCTTTTCTCTAGTTCCTGGTCCCCTTCTCCTATTGGCCTCAGTTGCTTTTAAGGTATCTGCTTTAGTTTCTCTGCGTTGAGGGCAACAAATGCTATCTAGTTTTTTGGGTGTCTTACCTATCTTCATACCTCCCTTGTGTGTTCTCGCTTTATCATGTGATCAAAATCCAATCCCCTTGTTATGTTTGCCCTTGATCTAATGTCCACATATGAGGAAGAACGTATGATTTTTGGTCTTTTGGGCCAGGCTAACCTCACTCAGAATGATGTTCTCCAATTCCATCCATTTACCAGCAAATGATAACATTTCGTTCTTCTTCATGGTTGCATAAAATTCCATTGTGTATAAATATCACATTTTCTGAATCCATTCATCAGTGGTGGGGCATCTTGGCTGTTTCCATAACTTGGCTATTGTGAATAGAGTGCTGCAATAAAGATGGGTGTGCAGATGCCATTGGAGTAACAAGACTGTGTCACAGTCTTTTGGGTATATCCCCAAGAGTGGTATTGCTGGATAATATGGTAGGTCAATGTTTAGATTTTTAAGTAGCCTCCAAATTTTTTTCCAGAGTGGTTGTACTAGTTTACATTCCCACCAGCAGTGTAGGAGGGTTCCTTTTCCCCCAATCCTTGCCAACACCTGTTGTTGGTGGTGTTGCTAATGATGGCTATTCTAACAGGGGTGAGGTGGAATCTTAGTGTGGTTTTAATTTGCATTTCCTTTATTGCTAGAGATGCTGAGCAGTTTTTCATGTGTATTTTGGCCATTAGAATTTCTTCTTTTGAGAAAGTTCTGTTTAGTTCACTTGCCCATTTCTTTGCTGGTTCATTAATTTTGGGAGAATTTAGTTGTTTAGTTTCCTATATATTCTGGTTATCAGTCCTTTGTCTGATGTGTAGCTGGCAAATATTTTCTCCCACTCTGTGGGTGTTCTCTTCAGTTTAGAGACCATTTCTTTTGTTGAGCAGAAGCTTTTTAGTTTTATGAAGTCCCGTTTATCTATGCTATCTCTTAGTTGCTATGCTGCTGGGGTTCCCTTGAGAAAGTTCTTACCTATACCTATTAATTACAGAGTATTTCCTACTCTTTCCTGTACCAACTTTAGAGTTTGTGGTCTGACATTAAGATCCTTGATCCATTTTGAGTTAATATTGGTGTAGGGTGATATACATGGATCTAGTTTCAGTTTTTTGCAGACTGCTAACCAGTTTTCCCAGCAGTTTTTGTTGAAGAGGCTGTCTTTTCTCCATTGTATATTTTTAGCGCCTCTGTCAAAGACAAGTTGGTTATAGTTTTGTGGCTTCATATCTGGGTCCTCTATTCTGTTCCACTGGTCTTCATGCCTGTTTTTGTGCCAGTACCATGCTGTTTTTATTGCTATTGCTTTGTAATATAGTTTGAAGTCAGGTATTGTGATACCTCCTGCATTGTTCTTTTGACTGAGTATTGCCTTGGCTATTCGTGGCCTCTTGTGTTTCCATATGAATTTCAGGGTAGATTTTTCACTCTCTTTAATGAATGTCATTGGAATTTTGATGGGAATTCCATTAAACATGTAGATTACTTTTGGGAGTATCGACATTTTTACTATGTTGATTCTACCAATCCATAAGCATGGGAGATCTCTCCACTTTCTAGTCTTCCTCAATCTCTTTCTTCAGAAGTTTATAGTTTTCCTTATAGAGGTCTTTCACATCTTTTGTTAGGTTTACACCTAGGTATTTGATTTTTTTTGAGGCTATTGTAAATGGAATTGTTTTCATATATTCTTTCTCAGTTTGTTCATTATTAGTGTATAGAAACGCTAATGATTTTTCTATGTTGATTTTATATCCTGCTACCTTGCCATAGCTATTGATGGTGTCTTGGAGCTTTTGAGGAGAGTTTTTGGGTCTTTAAGGTACAGGATCATGTCATCTGCAAATAGTGATATTTTGAAAGTTTCTTTACCTATTTGTATTCCTTTTATTCCTTCCTCTTGCCTAATTGCTCTGGCTAGGAATTCCAGTACTCTGTTGAATAGGAGTGGAGATAGTGGGCATCCTTGTCTCGTTCCTGATTTTAGAGGGAATGGTTTCAGTTTTTCTCCCCTAAGTATAATGCTGGCTGTAGGTTTGTCATATATAGCTTTTATAATGTTGAGGTACTTTCCTTCTATTCCTAGTTTTCTTAGAGCTTTTATCATGAAATGGTGTTGGATCTTATCAAAGGCTTTTTCTGCATCTATTGAGATGATCAAGTGGTTTTTGTCTTTGCGTCTGTTAATGTGGTTTATTACGTTTTTGATTTTCATATGTTGAACCACACCTGCATTCCTGGGATGAAGCCTACTTGGTCGTGGTGAATGATCTTTTTGATGTGTTGTTGAATTCGGTTTGCCATTATTTTATTGAGGATTTTTGCATCAGGTCATCACTTCTTAATGGCCTTCCCCATTACGGCATTAAATTAGTTTAAATATATGTTGTCTGGGAGCTTTATAAGTAATTAATTGTTACAAATCTTCATTTGTCTTAAAAAAAACCTTTTTCCATCCTTTCCTTTCTTGCCCCTGTAACTTGTGTGCCACTCTTTTTTTTCCCCTTTACAATGAGCCTGGTTGATAAATCTATAAGTTTTGGCTCTGATTATCCTTTAAATGTCTTTTATCCTACCCTTTTACTAGGACCCTGGTCATGTTCAACAGTGACCTTCAAGTTGCTATATCCACTGGTCAGTTTTTGGTTTTTCTTTTACTTGAACCTACCCCAAAACATTAGAAATCATGGATCTTTCCAAATGCCTAGCCTCAGAGCTCACTTTGATTCTGTTTTTCCAGACCTCTTAAGGTAGAGTGTCTGAGGGATCAGTAGTGAGTTCATGGCTCTAGTTGTACTTTTTCTTGGGAATCTCATTCAGTCTTGTGTCATTAAATATCTATCATTTGTAGGATGATGATTTCCAAATTAATGTCATTAACCCAGAATTCTCTGCAAAACATTCAATTTTTCTATTTCAGAAACTATAGGAATTTCTGGTTCTATATCCAAAAATCTTAATAAACATGTTCTGCATCTTTCACTGAAAAGAAAAAACTGTGTATAAAGTGATAAATAACTAAGGAATGTATTTGAGAATTTTGATATTGTTCTAATTAAACATTCATACCAATATCCATATTTACAAGTTGGTGAATTTATGATAGACAAACTAGAATCACTCAATTCAGGAAAGCACATCATACACATTTAAATGATTTTTGTGCATACTTGTTGATTGCTATTTCATATTTAAGGTTATTTACCTAACAAACTAATTCATGCCAACATAATATACCATGTAATCCTACTGGGAGATATCATTTAGCCAGAGAAATCATTTTCTTATTTGGAAAGTGTTACAAATATGCACATCACTGTTATTTATATATCAATAGATGAAAGAAGAGTATAGAATTTGTAATTGAGGAAGAAACAAGTATCCTAATATGACCAGCTAACACATTTAAAGTGATGTGAGTAATTCTGTTTGTTCATTTTCTTGCATTCTTTTGTAAACTTTGTGCTTTTTGCTTGCCTGCCAATAAGCAGTGAACTCAAGTGCTTCAGTCAAGTTGAAGGTTTTAATTTATAACCAGAATGTGCAGTCCATGGAATGCTTCTTACTTTGAACTTAAAAATGTCCAAAATTGTCATAATAATGAGTGTTCTAGAACATTTTGCCTTCTGTTGTTGATGATTGTTTTAATTCCTGAAAGTAGGAAAATTCCCAATTACTGTATTGATTATTATTTTGCTATTGCTCAATTCTAACTCAAATTCATGTAAGAACTTCTGTAAATGTCACAATGTATCACCAGTACAACAATAATACAAAAAAGAGCTCCCATTTGAAAGCAGTTTTAGGGTGATTAATTTCAGCTGCAAAGTCACCAAAGTATTTTATCATTCTCTAAGTTAAAGTAATGCTAATCATGTTCAACAAAAGATACTGTTAGAGATTTCTAGAAATGTTTATTAGAGATTACAACTTTGGTGAGAATAATATGAGATAATTATGTAATACACGTTGTGTCGGATAAGAATATAGAGGAGAATGAACTTTCCTTGTGGCTCATTTGATTCAGTAACAGAATGACATTTCACATTTAAAATAGACTGTACGTAATTAAACACTTACATATAAAATGTTTTAAAATATATAAAAAAGCAAAATAAAAGTGCATTAAGTGTGACATTTCTTGGCTGTCTGTACATTTAGAATTTCAAAACATTTAATAGTTTGATGAACTATTGATATACTTAGTGACTAGAAAATTGGTATTGATGTCATTTGGAGAATTAATAGAAACATAAAAGAGTGCTATCAATGTGACAGATGCTCATAGAATTTAAGTAAATGTTGGTATAAATCAAAACACAAATTTGAAGGTGAAAGGAAAATGTTAATAATATTATAGATAGGTAAATGAAATCTAGTGAGTGAACTACAGTTCACCTACTAAATTATTGAAAGTATTAAATCTGGCTTTTCATGAATATGTAGGGACATGTCTGCAGTGTACATTATTGGTAAACTAGAAGAATTTATAATGATATTGGGAGAGTTACTCTTCTAATCAGACAGTTGAATCTCTCATTTGTTCTGTATTTTTTGAGACTTTTCCTCAGGAAAATACCTCCAAAAGAAAATATAGGTAACTGCAAACCTAGGTAACAGAAAGGCACACATAATATGGGGTAGGGGAGCACAGGAGAGGGAGGAGAGAGAGATAAAGGGAGGGAGAGGAAAGGAGGGAAGGAGGGAGGGAGGGAAGGAGAGAGAGATTGGATAAGTAGGTATTGTTTTTATTTTATTATTTTTATTGTTGTGCTGGGTGCGGGTACAGTGTGGATGCTACAAAAGTTCTTACAACATATCAAATACATCATATTTGAATTCACCCCCTACCATTCTCTTTATCCCTCCCTTAAGAAGTTAGGTCAAAACTCAGTATCTAAATTTTTGTGTTTGTTATGATGGCAAAGTATAGACTAATGAAAATCTAGGTTTGAAATAAGTAAATCAGTATGTAACATTTTATCTACACAGTTGTTATTAATATTTTTGTGTATTTGTAGCATAAAAATGAAAGGAATAGGTCAACCCCTCCTGAAAAACCCAATAACATAAGTATTATTTACTGACGAGAATAATTTATATTTCTGTTTGTCTTTGCTTACTGTAATAATTTCTACTTTTTGTTATAACAATGTTTGCATATTTCATACTTTCAAAAGAATACAATTTTGTATACTAAAGTGTGCTCAGCTACAGTATGCAGTGCTCCATTGTATATTTTAAATTATGGTCCATGTGTACGAATACAGTTCAAACTTCAAATTAGTCTAAAATAACTTTAACCTAATACATCTTTTGAAACTCATGTGCATTTTATGGCAACAAAACAAAATTAAATCACCAGGCACACCAGAAATTTGCTAGCTTGACCTAAAATGGTCACCTCAAGTATTTATTTGTGTTGGAGGGCACTTATGGATCTCGGTAAGTTCAGAACACAGCCCCTGGATTGCTTTGTTCAGAAAAGTTACTTCCCTAACTTGTTTTATTTTCTCCTCTTAGTTTTACCATTAATGCAAAAATATATGTATATATGGAAGAAGACTAATATTGTATGTCAAAGAAAAAAATTCTAACGAAATTGTATGTAGATAGCACTATAGGTGATTTAAAATCTCCTCCTTTAGTATATAGTATTGAATACCTAGTATAATCTATAGTAAATCTTTAATATACAATAGTCTGGAAGATGAGCATCATTATTTTTAAAGCTTAAGAAGTTAAAAAAAGATCAAGCTTTTGTATTTATTTTTTCCTATTTGAAGCAGAAATACTGTTCATAGACTTGTTTATATGGGGCATTGTTTCTATTGGAATGTAAGAAACCAAATTGTACAAACCAGGTAGCTTAAGTTTTTTCCTCCTAACTTCCCATAAAACATGCATTTAAAAAGATAGATATGATATTCTTTATAGAATGTGGGATTTAGGTACACACTATCTTAGAAAACATCAGTTCTTGCTAGTGGTTTTTATATTCTTTTAGGGAAAATGTATCTTGAATTTACCTGAAGGGGGACAAAGTGAGCAGGTGAAGTATTTCTTTCGTTATTGTGATTTGGATGATTGTAAAATACAAGTTCATCTAGTTTTTTCCTGTGGACAATTTTTTTCTTGCCAACATTTTAAAGATGACTACTGCATATGAGGTATAGAATTGGATGTCTTTTTAAAGTGCAATTCCATTGTCTGTTCTATGGAAACACCTACCACTTAAATAAAATTACAGTGCTCCTACTAGAAAAAAATAGCCTTTGTTACCTGTATATATTTTCGCATATTTTTCTTTTATTTTAACCACAAAAACTTTCTCCCATTTTGGAAACAATAGTCACCTGCACATTGTCAGTTTTTTTCATGATGCAATTGTGAAATCTTTCAAAAATAGAATCTGATTCATATTGTCTTGATTTTACCATTGTATTACCTTGTAATTTTTAAGTGCATTTTATTTTGTGGTCAGATCACATTGACCACATATCTAGTGGATATTAGGGTAATGTTTGATTTTTTAATGTTTGATTTTTTAAAGCAATGGCTTCAAATTGGCAGCACTTTAACATTAGCTATTTTACTTAAACCTTGTTGAGTAAATCTGAATTACATTTCCATGTTTCTGCTTTCTTTCAAGTATTGCTGTGTCCATGTACTTGTGAGTTCCAAGTTTCCATATAGATAATAAACCTTGTCTTTTTGCCTGAGTTCTTCAACAATGCCACATTCTGTACTTAGAATATTTTAGCAGTTTTCATGGCTATTGCCGTCACTGAGATCAGAAAATTACCTCCTCACTTATTTTTACTGGCTTAATGGTCAACAGATTTCAGAGTCCTGGTTAAAATATGGCACAAAATGTACCAAATGTTTTCCTGGAAACTTTAAATGTTGAATAAAAATTTTCTTTACACAAAGTAATCACTTAAAGTAACACGTCAGCTAAACTGATATGTGAAAGATTCCTAATGTTATTAATACTTGATTATTATACTGAGAAGGTGTCTCATCCTGCCTAACTCTATAGGATTTTAGTGCAAAATTTTGACCTTCTAACCTTGTAAAAGCTATTTTATTTTAATATTTAGTCCCCTGTGCTTGGAATTGAAATTCACTTAGTTGTGCTGTGACATAAATCTATATAAAGGAAGTGCAATTTTAATGTTACTTACAGAAGAATTTTGACATTTAAAATTTTTATATTTTAATATTAGATCATTATTTTGTATGTCTCGAAGAGATTTTTGTAATTTGGCTCATTAGGAAGAAAACATTGACAGCTCATCACTTTTCTGATCTGTGACCTGGGAATTGAATATCTCTTTTCATAGAGTGAGGATTGAATATGGTGCACCTTCTGAATGGTTAACATCAAGATAGTTGACCACACTTAGTGTGACAATATAATGGAACTGAAACTTCTATCCACTGTGGGTGGGATATAAAATGGTGTAGCCACACTGGAGAACAGTGTCACAGGTTTTTTAAAAATTGAGCAAATTCCTGCCATGTATTTCATCCATTCTACTCCTGAGTATTTACTCAAGACAAATTTGACATGTCTTGGTGTGGGGTAGCTATACCAGGTAACACATATGAAAGCACTTACTGTGTTGCTTGAGAACATTACAAATGCTTTTAAATTGGAATAATAAAATGTTGAGGTGGGAGAAAATCAGAGACAGTTTCACTTCAGCTACAAGGAAAATGGTTAAGCAACCATTTTTCTTTTGGTAAGAAAATTGCTGTGTATATTTAAGGACAGGTTTATACACAGGTTCATACTTATTTTTGTGTGGGCAGTCATTGAGTAAACCATGCTCTGTTTAATCACACATGTGAATGAATGACTAGTTAGACTAGAGTCACTGGGACAGCCCAGGCTGAACAGGACTGATGGCTGAGCAATGTGTAGAGATGTGTGTGTGGGGGGGTGTGGAACAGAGGAGGGTGTTCAGAATTGCTCAGGTGAATAATGCCTAGTTTCTGAATGGTTTCATGCAAACCAGAGCAATGACACATCTGATTACAGCTGGAGCTGTATCTCTCATCCCTAGCATATCTGCTCCCCAGTAAGTTGTATGGTAACTCCCACGTAGATCTCAAATGACTTATGTGAACACGAAAGCCAGAAATAACCTGGGAAGACACACCTGGGTAAGCCTCTGATGAGCAGAGTCTGTGATAAAGTAGAGGTCAAGGAAACAGCTACAAACTCTAATGTCCTCTGTTGTTTTTCCTGAGAAAGCAGACACCATATAGTTGCTCCTGGTATATCTGATTCTGTTCATAGTAGATTGCAAACATACTTGGCCTGAAGGACTAGAAAAGATCTTGTGCTGAATGGTTTTGATAGTGTAACCACTGTCATCATCGTGATCTCCATCACCACCATCATGAT